GTATAACGAACAAAACGAACATGGCTGTATTTAACATTTGTGACGGAGAAAGCGAGTAGCATAGCTGTAAAGTAAACAGTAAAACGAACAAAGCGAACATAACTGTCGGTGTGGCTGTATCTAATATGTATGACAAACAAAGCGAGTATAGCTTGCATAGCTATCTGTGTGGCTGTTTTTAATAATATAGCTAACAAACCGAACATAGCTCTCTATGTGGTTGTATTTAACAGTATCACGAACAAAGCGAATATAGCTCTTTGTGTGACCACATTTAACATGTATGATAATCGAGCATAGGCAGTCTAGCGTTTTGTGTGACCCCATTATTACAACTGTATGCAATTACATTATTAATACTTAAATTCGATTTTCAAACAATCGTTTGCTTTTTCTCCAAAGATCAAAAGTAAATTTAATAACAAGGGGTTAGCTGTGACCCTTTACTACACCCTACTGCAGAACTCCTCAGTGTTACCCGGTGACTATACTGAGGTGACAGATATCCAATAAAAATAAAGTTCTTAGTAGGAGTACATTGTTTACTTTTTTAATTTACGACTAATAAAAAAAAAGAAACACGTACGGTACAAACTGACAGGTATCCAAGCCAATTGTCGTAAAAACCGTAACGTCGCGTTTCTGAATTCGTTGAGATCTTTTACGTGTCTGGCGATTACTCGTAAAAGCTTCTATTGAAAGGCCTCTGGGATTTTTAATACTGACACCAAGAGGAAGGCCGAAAACTGATAAAATATTCAGTTGCCGGAAACTTCACATCTAGTTGTCCGAAAAGTTTTGGAAAGTGAACTAATTACTTTATCTAATAGAACAAGTAATGTATCAGTCTTCAGTTTACGGGGTGTAAGTTTGAATGGGGGTTGTATTTATACGGAGGTTACTTTTAGCCTGTAGGAACGGATATCATAAGCTTGTTATTTCAAATTCCGTTGTAAAAACTGTTTTTTTTATAACGCTGTTTGTAACTTGTTCAGAATTAAAACCTATTTCCGAATTCCAAATTTTGAAGTTCATTCTAATTTGATTTTTTCAATTTCTTCATCCAACATTAGCGTATTATTTTTGTTCAAAGTTCCCATAATCTCTAAAATATTGAACCAACCTTATAAACATTTTCCTATTTGGTACCTATCATTCGGTATAATCCATCTGATATCGTATTTCTGCAACAACATCGTTTTCTCCTGACAAAAATAGACTCGAACCATATCTATTTCTTGATTCGTGTACATGCATTTTTGTAATATCACACAGAAACTTGTCTACTTTATGTAATGACTGTAGTATAATTCAGCAAAACAAGATCAGTTTAGTATTTTCATTTTTTATTATGTTCTTTTTTTTTAAATAACCAAAATAATTATTTTAAAATAGAAAGTATGTTTTTTAATCTGTCAATTATGTTTGCAGCAAAATTGTTAAATAAACGAAATTTAAAATTGTAATTGCACTGTTTTGACATCAAACAAATATGGTGATATTAAAATAAAAAGTCGCTAAGTCGTACAAAAGCCATATGTTTTTACTAATTATTTTCCATTGACTTTGTAACAGTTGATTTAAGAAGGTAATAACTGGCAATGCTGAAAAGTGATGATACAACCAACTAGGGTAATTCCGGGTCGGCATAAACAAGAATTTAGGTGTAGTTTAAAAATCAAACTATAACTCGCCCCTTTATTTGATTTAAAAAATAAAAATAATTTCTAGGGAACGCGAACTATAAGTACTATAACCCATAAAAAACTCATCCCCATTTAAAGCTTAACCCTGTATATAATTGAGTACTAGTTTTCTCTCAATAAATCTAAGTTAAGAGTTAATGCAAAATTAAGATCAAAGTATATCTACATATTCAGCTACACCACAAGCTGTTTTTTTTCTGCTTTTTCAGCTGTTTATGTTTATCGTAATTTATTTGACAATAGAATTTAATGATTTTAAATATTTTTAAAAAGGTATGGTAATAAATAGAAATCACGTAGCTCCCTTATAAATACAGGGTGTCTCACGATGACGGCCCATTAAAATTATTTCAGAGACTACTTCGATTTGAATTTTTAAAATTTTGGATAAGAGGGTTTTTGGGCATGCCCTTCTCAACTAAAATAATGGCGTCCACGTACCACTTCCGGTTATACCGGAAGTCGCCATCAACTTGCTTATTTTAAATGGAACACCCTATATATTACTGCAATTTTGGATTCTACGTGTTATTTTAAGTGAACTTTTATGAAATTTTCCTATTCTTAAAATTAACCGTTTTCGAGATATTTAACTTTTTTCAAAAAAATGGAGAGAAACAGTGACTAGCTTCAAACTATGTGTATTTTATAGTAAGAAATATAAAGCAACAATATTTATAGGGGGATAGCTTGACCTCTAAGCTTCTCATCCATACTTTCAAAGTGGTTTAATTGCATACAGGGTGCTAGAAATTTAATGCCGAGTTTAGTTAACTTCAAACTTTCATAAGTCGGTTTTTTAGATGGAACACCCTGTATGTTTTTCTATATTCGGATACACAATTCCCTATACTTATCTCTTCTAGTTTTTAAGTTATCTACTATTTTTTGTGTAATCACCTAAAATCATGTAATTTCTTGCGAGGATAGCTGTGGAATTTTTAGCAAAACTTCAAAACAAACAACTAAACTGTCAATTTGTTGTTAGTCTCTTGCAGTGACAGTTTAATTTAGTGTTTATAAGAAATGGAAAACAATACATATTCAAATGCTGATATTTTAAATTTATTATTCATTCACGGACGTTGCAATGGGATTATAAGCAGAACATGTACAGTTTTTAATGAGACATATCCAAATTTGCCACCAATGAGCAGAAAAAAGTTAAGAAGAATTTTAGCAAATCAACTAGAGTATGGTCGAATTTGTGCAGAAAGAATTTTACCAAAACCAATAACTTCAAATGAAGATAATGTAATAAATGTGCTAGCCTATTTTAATGTTCATCCAGAATCCTCAACTCGTGCCGCAGAGTATGATTTAGGCATTTCACGAGCGTCCATTCACAGGATGCTAAGAACTAATGATATGCATCCATACAAATTTAAGCTACTTTCTGCTCTTCATCCGGGTGACGCCGTGCAACGTGTACAATTTTGTGAAACGATGTTAGTGCGATACCAAGAAGATCCACAATTTTTGCAACATATTATATGGACAGACGAGTCAAAATTTACGAGAGAAGGTATTTTTAATAGACATAATACTCATTTGTGGTCATCTGAAAATCCTCATGTTATCCGGGAAAGAAACTTTCAAAATAAATTTAGCGTAAATGTTTTTTGTCAAATTTCTTACCATATCTACGAAGAAAATTTAAATGCCGACAGATCTCAATATTTTGCAAACGGTTGTGGCAGATTTTCTAGGATGATATGCCTTTAGACCAACTAAGGAAGTGTTGGTAACAATTAGACGGGGCTCCACCTCACTGTCATAATCAAATCGATCAACAGCTGACTGAAATGTTTGAAGATAGATGGATGAGACGCCTAGGACCGTGGAATTGGCCAGTGAAGTCTCCTGACCTCACTCCAATAGATTTTTATGTTTGGGGAGTAATAAACCAAAAAGTTTATTCTACACCCGTTGCTTGAAAAGAGGATTTGATTCCTCGAATACGAAGAGCGTTCCATGAATTGCCTGCAGCTGAAATAGCAAATGCGGAGACTGATGGTGTTATCTCTAGAATCCACAAGTGCTTAGCTGTTAATGGGGGTCACATTGAACACTTATGACTTTTTAAGTCACTTTTTTATCTTAGTACATTATTATTATCAACATATATAATTAAAATTGTGTATTACTATGTATGAAGTTGTTTTTTAGAATTCTTCTTAACTTTATTCTGCTGATTGGTGGGAAATTGGGATATGTCTCATTAAAAACTGTAAATGTTCTGCTTAGAATACCATTGCAACGTCTGTGAATAAATAATAATAAATAACTGGTGACAATTTTATTGTTTGTTTTGCTAAAAATTCCACAGCTATCCCCGCAAGAAATTACATGATTTTAGGTGATTACACAAAAAATAGTAGATAACTTAAAAACTAGAAGAGATAGGTATAGGGAACCCTGATACCGTTTGAAAGAGAATAAAATTGTGTACCAGAATATATAAAAACATAGATGGTGTTCCATCTAAAAAAACCGTTTTATGAAGGTTAGAAATTAGCTAAACTCGGCATTAAATTTCTAGCACCCTGTATACAATTAAGCCACTTTGAAAGTATGGATGGGAAGCTTAGGGGTCTAGCTATCCCCCCTATAAATATTGTTGCTTTATCTTTCTTACTATAAAATACACATGGTTTGAAGCTAGTCACTGTTTCTCTCCATTTTTTTGAAAAAAATTAAATATCTCGAAAACGGTTAATTTTAGGAATAGGGAATAAGGAATATATAGGGTGTTCCATTTAAAATAAGCAAGTCGATGGCGACTTCCGGTATAACCGGAAGGGGTACGTCGACGTCATTATTTTAGTTGAGAAGGGCATGCCCGAAAACCCGGTATCCCAAATTTTCAAAATTCAAATCGAAGTAGTCTGAAATAATTCTAATGTGCCGTCACCGTGAGACACCCTGTATAACATTTCTTTTTATTTTGACAATTTCTTTACCCACTCCCGACTCCCACTGTTAGTCGGACATGCCTTTATTATTATAGAGTCAAAGTTAACGTAACGGTGACTGATTATTCTACATCGATACGCCTGTATGTCCTAGAACCCCCAAACGAGCTTTATCCACCACTTCCACCTTCTAAAAAGTGATTTAGCCATTTATCCAGTGATGTGTATCGGCGGGCGCGCACCCATTTTTTGCCGATCCTCGCGCCAACCGCTGACATTCCCGTCGATTCACCGCCACCGGCACCGAAATTAGTAACTCACGATTGCACTCCGTCTCGGCGTGGTCTCGATGTTGTGTTGTGTGCTTAGTCGTGCTAAGGACCGATGTGCGAACTGTGCGTAGAACTTATGTGTGTTCCAGAGCCGCCTCGGTCGTCCCCCCAGCAGGACCCCATGGCCGCCTTCTCCACGGAGGCCTCCACCACCAGGGAGAAGGAGCTCCTGCCCAACGACATGGTGGAGTACCCGCAGACCAGCTCGACGGTGAGTAAAAGGGTGTGAAACTCTTTCGCTATTCGGAAATTATTAGATTTTTCATTATTCCATAATCTACTCTGTCCAGATTGTTTACAACAAAAAAGGAGTAACTTTATATTGAAATTATTACGTAAGCAATAATTCACATTTTCAAGAAAAATTAATTGCTACTCTTGTTCCTACTTTGGGCAAATAGATTAAGAAATAGAGGTGAAAAATCATCGAGAGATCATGAAAATTACTGGGCGTGATTTTATTATTGGAAAGTCTTAGGAATGACAATACAAGAGGCGTCTCATCAAACGTGTCATGAAAAAAATATAGCGTCTTTGTTTTTTATCAATAAATAGGTCAAAAATTCATAATTTTTCGTTCTACGCGTTACTGTAAAAAAACTATTATTCTTGCAAAAAGTGTTCAACAGACGATTTGATCTAGAGAAACTCATCTTTAAAATGAGACTTTATAATTTAAAATTGCTTTATAAACAAAAAAGCAAAATTAAACGGAAAAAGTGATTTTTCTTTAATTGTTAATAACTTTTAAATAATTAATAAAATCCTACCAAACTTTCCCAAAATATGAGTTTTTATACCCTTAAGAGATGTGCAAAAGATGGGCTCGACCGCTCAAATAGTTTTTGCAAAATTCCATTTTTGCAAAAAGGCCCATTTTCAAATGACTATTCCGGGGACAGGGTTATGACTAAAACATTCTTTTTGGGCTCATTTTCTTCGAAGGGACCCCAAGTATCCTCTAGTTAAAAAAAAATATTTTTTTTTTCAAATTTAGTTGTATGTAATTGTTAGGTATCAAATAAAAGGCACTTTTTTCCCTAATAAACAAATAAAATAACTCCACGATTTTTAACTTTGAGTTGAGGGGATTAAATTAATTTTGCAGGGTTATAATAATATTGACAACATTTTTTTATTGAGAACTAAAACATTTCAAATAAAAAAAAAATGCAAAAAAAAATTGTTTTCAAATAATTCATTTTTAGGGGGGTAGGGGGTGGTTTTACAAGGGTAGAAATCATCCAGAAGTAATTTTTTCGTCGAGCTACCCCAAATTAAAAAAAGAAGGTTCTACGTTCTAACTTACATAGAACCTGAGATATTACAAATTTGACATTGACAGTTTTTTCCTGGTTGAGAGGAAGATCCCCCCACCACCACTCCCTGAAGGGCTACTGCCGCGTACCCTTACTTTGACGGGATGTGGATTGATCAATTATGGGCAAATTCAATTAAAATTAACATGAATGGGCATAAAGTTTTTTTTTGCAAAAATCGATAAATAAATGGAATTTTGCAAAAACCATTTGACCGATCGGGCCCATTTTTTGCACATCTCTTAAGGATATAAAAACTTACATTTGGGGAAAGTTTGGTAAGATTTTATTCATTATTTAAAAAGTTATTAATAATTAAAGAAAAGGCACTTTTTCCGTTTAAGTTTGCAATAAATTTTTTGTTTATAAAGCAATTTTAACTTATAAAGTCTCATTTTAAAGATGAGTTTCTCTAGATCACATCGTCCGTTCAACATTTTTTGTAAGATTATTAGTTTTTTTTACAATAACGCGTAGAACGAAAAATGACGAATTTTTTACCTATTTATTGATAAAAAACAATGCGCTATACTTTTTTTCATGACCCATTTGATGAGACGCCTCTTGTATTATCAATCCCAAGACTTTCCAACAATAAAATCACGCCCAGTAATTAATAAATTTCAAAATGTTTCCTTTCCTGATCTAAAAGATCTAGACAAAGTTCCAATCACTTTAATGTATTATTTAATATTATATTCCTGCATTTTCTATTACTGGATTGTCAAAAAATATTATTAGCCCTTACTCATGTTCCTGGGCCTGCTAATTTATTTATTCCTGCATTTTTTTGTCATTGAATTTCTTCATAATTCTCATCAAATGTACAGAGTGTTTACTAAAGAATGTGCCAGAACTTAAGGCTAGCTTCCTTAGATGAAAATAAGGTGATTTAAATCAACTTACCTTACCACCATTTTTATAGGCCTGAAAAACTATTTTTTTTTCACATGTTTACGATAATTTATTTTTTATTTGTCTAATTTTACTAAAATTTGGATAAGTTGTTTTTTGTGTTATAAACACGAATATCTGCTTGTTTTCTTTGCGATAAATATACAGGGCGTTCTGAGCCCCCTTACCACTACATTGTTTCCTTCAGATTTTTTTTAAGGATCGATATTTTTGGAAAATGATTAGTTATTTTAAAACAGCATTCGATTTGCTTTAAAAAAGTATCCTCGTTGCATGCCACTGAAATAAACAGATATTCGTGTTTATACCTAACACAAAAAAACTTCTTTTCCAAAATCTGAGTAAAATTACCCAAATAATAAATAAATTATCATAAAAAAGTGAAAAAACACTACTTTCTGGGGCCTCTAACTTCTTAAGGAAGCAAGATGGTACTAAGGCGAGTTGATTACCTTATCACCTTATTTCCGTCCAAGGAAGCTAGCCTTAAAGAATGGCCCATTCTTTAGTAAACACCCTGTATATGTACCTACATATTTAATATCCCATTTGTTAAATGTTCATAGTTTACTTTATCGAGATTGTTTCTAATGAAATAAACATATTGCTATACCTACTGAAATTTTCAAGTATAATTAGGTCCAAATCTCGTTCTTAATTGTTTGACTACTATGAACAAGATCCAGAATAAAGTTCTACGCACCATAATAGTTTAATTATTATATTGCTACATTTTTTAACACTAAATTCCATACCCAATTATTGCATTTTTAAAAATTCTCATCAAATGTATGCATACTTGCTTGGTATCCCACATACTAAAATTACATAATTTACTTTATCTAGATTGTTTCAAATGAAATTATTACTGAAATTATTAAGTAAGGAATAATTTAAATTCAACACGGATTAACTCTTATTTTTTACCCTAAGTATGATTGACCATCAAAAGATGAGGAAACAGTTGTAGACACTAATATATTAACTAATACAGGGTGTGGTATTCTATAAGTTCTATTTCAAACATTTTTTCTTATATGAAAGTTACAAGCATTTAAAAAATATAATTTTATATTTCAATCAAAGTAGCCTGATAAATAAAAATGGTGATTGNACTCAAATAAAATAATAACTAAAAAAAAGCGTTTGTAAAACATGCGTTTGCTATTATTCTAACATCACATTTTAAGAATTATTTTTACGTACTTATAAATAAAAGTAAACAATTTTATATGTAGGACTAAGCAAGTAAATGTTATAAGAATATTTACATGTGGAGTTATATATAAAAAAGTTAGTATTTTAGTAGATTTCAGTACCAAAAACATTGAGGGTTTGATCGTTTTTTGCACATGTTTATTCATTTTACTGCGGCGTCTTTTAAAATACTCAGGTGGCATGACATAACATTCCTATTATTTGATAAGCTTTAGATTATTTAGTTATTAAATGTTTGAAATTATTTGTCTTTGCGGAAAACACTATTTAAAGAATATGGGGCCCTTAACCAATAGCTCTCATAGAAGTAAAATCTACTATTCCTAAACAATGTATAATGAAAAGTGATCTGCCAAGAATTAATAAAATTGATACCAGTTGGTATGCTCTAACTTGATAATAATATAATACACATCCTCTTCGCCCACACAAACCTTTAATCTGTAATGTATGCTTAGAACTAATTATGATGTAATAAACGCCGGTAACGAATATTTAAAATACAAATACTAAGGCAAACATTACGTACTTTTTTCGGGTTCTGAAGATAGTACCTTACATGACGTCTACATTACTGACCTAGTTCAAACTTTTCTTCGGAGCTAGTTGTGAATTTAGAGTAATCTATTTTGGTCGCCTAAAGCTAAATCCGAAACAATTGAATAGAAGCATGCTCTTAAAAGTTGCGCTAAGTGCTATTTATAGCGGCAGGAAACATTTATTTGAAATGCTATTGGTTTATAAAGTCCGTTCCGAAAGTATTCAAAAAACAACTCGGGTTTTATAGATTTTCGAGAATAGTATAGTCGTTTAATGATTTTCTCGGTAATATTATTGTTTTTCCGTTTCAGTAACAATATTTATAGTTTATTTATGTCAGCCAGTTGTAAAGTTAAACACATCAATCATTTATATAGACGGTAAAACTGTATTCATTTTGTCCAAATCTAATATGCCCAAATATTATTCTACAGTGTGATTCACAAACGGCGACCAAAATTGAAATCTCGTATTCCTTGGCGAATCTTAAGGGAAATATAAAGTTTTTATCTAGGACGCTTCGTTAAAAATGTACAGGGCCTTAAACTTAAAAAAATATTTTTAATTTTTTTAAATAATTTAACTAGTAAGTGAAATAATTTGAAATGAAAATTCACCAAAGAATTCATCAAATTCACCAAAGAATACCGGATTTCACTTTTGATCACCATTTATGAATCGCCCTGTATAAATAATAAAATCTCAAAACTTCACATATTTTCTACGAAAATTTCTGTATATTGTAGCTTTTGCTATATTATTACTAATTTTTTTCTATAATTTCGTAAATATTTACAACTTGGCCAAACTATGCTCAATAAATTTTATTATAAAGTTGTATTCTTCCAATGGCATATTTCTATTACTTAAAAAACCATATATTTGAAATTTGGGCCATCTGATCCTTTAAATTGAGCCTAATATTAAAATTCTTTGACTTTGGGATTAATCGAAAACGACCGTAATTTAAAAAAAAATAAAATTTTAACGTACAGTATGTTTTTCTTAAAATTTAAATTCTACAAAAAATATCCCCAATTCCAAATTAGTTTTTTTTAATAATGGAGATATGCCATTGGCACAATACGACTGAGACACCTGGTATTATCAAAGCTGTAAAAACAACACACATAAATATAAGAAGAAAGTAGTACAATATTGATATAAAACAAATAATATTCAAATGTATTCAACAAACGAATTTGATCGCATATTACAA